AGAATTGAACTACTGATTATTGAAGCAGCAAAAGGACATTAACTTGTTGGAAAGGACTTACATCACTTCCACCCATCAAAGGCACAAGAAATGAAGGAATCATCACTGCAGTTCCTAAGGCCAAAATGTAATGCTGGAAACCCAAAACTATTGTCTCCACTGTGAACAATTCAACAATCAAAACAAACATATCACTTTAAAAAAACAAAAAACAAAATGGGGACCAAAAAAGTTCAATCTTTGAATGAAACTGAAAATGCAGTTACCCCAAGATGGATTTGAATCTATACAGTACTCTAAGCCTTGAAGTTGGTCCATTGGTGAGTGGCTTATCTCCTCTGGCTTTGGAGCTGCCATGATCCCTTCCACACTTTGCAACTCTTCTCTTCAAATATAAATGCTTATGAAGGAAAAACAGCTTGAGCGAAAGAAAGCTGTATGAAAAGATAGAATCTTTGGTTTAGAGTGTGAGAAAACTGAGAGTAGGAAGAGGCAAAGGAAATGTGGAGCCAGTCAATGTATGCAGTTAAAAAGGGGAAAGGAAAGACCAATAGAATGATGGAAGCAAGAGAGAGAAAGGTATTTTTTTATTTTTTATTTTTAAGTTTAGAGAGAAAAAAATGAGAGAATGCACAGTTAAAGAGACACAATTAACAGTAACAAATGGTGTGTGTGTGAGAGAGAACACATCAAACAGAGGTGTTCGAGGTCTCACCTTTTGTAGTGTTCGAGTGTTCAACACAACCTCAAAAGGTGCCGTTAACTTTCCATATTCCCAGAATGGCCTTGTGAAAAACTTCCAAAATTTAGAACCGTTGCCTATTATTTTTTTACAACTGAGTTTCTGCAGAACTGAGTTTGCAAGTGCATTATTGATCCTAAGGATATTATTTGAAAATCAAGCAAAGGAAAAAAAGGGCACTATGTAAAATAGGCAATGTTGAGAAATTAATGTGGGAGGGTTGACCGTCAGTTATCTTCCTATAGTGTAAGACAGTTTTGATTCATGAGTTGTAAAGTACAAATACGATACAAATTTTCACTTTAATCTTTTTTTTATTGTATTTTTAATTCAAATCGTGAACTAAAGTGACAAAAAAATTAGAAACTAAAATAAATATTTATAACATTTAAATTAAAATAAATAGCATTTACGATTTTAAACGCCTACTCCACACTATTACTTGAAATTGTTATTGAAATGATATTACATATATAGATTTCATACGCTGCTATGCTTGTAGTATATAAAATAATTAGTATTTTATTTTTATATTAATTATCATTCATAATTTTATTAATAATAATATTAGATTTTTTATTTGTACTAATATATATTTCAATCATTAAATCATTATGTTTTATAATATTAAATTACTTATTTAATATCTTATAAATTCTCTCAATATATTAATTTTAATATTAAATAATTTCTTCAATGACATCAAATTATTTATTTTATTATGTTAATATAAAAATACGAATTATTTTATATTTATAAGACTTAATATTACAAATATTAAAAATATTATAACAACAAGCTTCTTTTGTGATATATTCACATATATAACATCATCTTATCTTATTATTGACATCATTAAAAAGAAAAAAAATGAAAGAAAGAAAAAAACTTTTAATAAATTTTTGTTAGAGAATATTTAAAACACTCTTTTTTTTTTTAAATCAAGCTAAAACTAAGTACGCATGTTACTTTAACGAGAGATAGAGATTTGATAAAAAAGAAAGAAAAAACATTAAATAAGGTATCGTTTGGTTCAGAGACACTATACGGAAACACCGTATTATGTTTGACTAGTGTCTTGTTGGAAAGACAGAAATACAAAGGATACGCGAGACACAAATTTGAAAGACACCAATGTACTTCCTAAAAAAAGAGACACAAAGGGTAAACTTTTGAAGATAAAAATATCTCTCATAATTTTTAAAAATTGCATAGATTACTTTCATAACTTTTATATCCAAATATAATACGAAACATAATACGCCACATTCTGTTCTTGTTTCTAAACACAATACACATTTTGTTTTTATTTCTAAACACAATACGCTTCTAAACACAATACACATTCTATTCTTATTTCTAAACGCAATACACAAACATTAGTGTCTCTGTTCTTTATTATCTTAATGTCTCTATCTATGATGTTTCGGTATCAAAATGCTACCTAAAAAACATTACCACTATGCAATTATAATACATTTCCATCTCACATGATGAAAAGGGGTCTGAAAAAGGTACAATATACGATCTTTATGGACTAAAAGAAGCGAAGAAAAGAAGCAAAATGATGCTCCTAAGTACTCTTAAGGCACAATTCCTAAGTATATCCTATTAACAACCAAAATCATTAGTTAACCATAAAAAGAGGAGCCTTAGTGCTTTGCTTGGCTGCTAGTCTTGCATTTTCAACAATACACAAAACTCTATACATATAGGATTAATTGAAGAGGCTTTTTCTTTTCCTTTTATATGACTTTCTCTTTTTTTTCTTTCAATGGGCCTGCACGGGGTGAAAAAAAGCAAAGGGAATGATGATTTTGAGGGTTGATGAGGATATTGATTACTGACCAAAGTGCTTGAGCATTGATAGGCAAATAGAAAGGAACCCACAAACTTGTCAGATAGTGTCAGAGAGAAAAATTAGAGGTTGAACATGCTATTCAATTCAAGAATAGAAGATGTTGATAAGTAGGAAAAGATAAGAGGATGTTGCATTGAAGATTTTGATGGGGTCTTTGCTTCAGTTTCTAATTATTTTGTTGGTCGTGAAATGACTAATGCAGTATACAGGGTAAAGTAAAAGATGATTTTTGACTTTGAGTTCCCCGCAAAAAGAAAGAAAAAGGGACAACCGTGAACTAGTTCCATTCCATAATGTCCCACATCGGAATATCCCCTACCCTGAATCGGAAAGCTAACAAAAGATGAGATGAGTGAGGTAATGCTGGTAACTGATACGCGAATCTGATGGTTGGATACGAAGAATCTGTTCAAAATTTGCAAGGCTACCAACACACTTCTAACACATTTGAAAATTAAAAAATACAAGAAAAAACATTAATTTAAAAATAAAAAAATTATATAACTTTTGTAGTTTTTAATAAATTTTAATTAATAATAGAGAGTGTACTACAAATAGTTAACCTTACTTAAAACTATAAAAAAAAAACTAGTTTACACGTTATTAAATGACAATTGATACTGAACCACCGTTAATGCTTTAAAACTTAAATTGAATTACATCTAGTTGTTAGGTCCTAAACTAGTAATTATGTGCATTTTTTGTGTGTATAAGACTACCTATATCTCAACACTTCATTAAACATCTAAGTAATTTGAATTAAGTGAAGTATGATCATTGTGAATAATTAATTATTCACTTCAAGTATTCAATCTAATCACATTCTTTATTGAATAAAATAATTTTTATAAGTTCATTTACGTACTCAATGATAATGATAAAGTTTTTTAACAATTTTTTCACAGTTGTATCATTAATTTATATATTTAAAAAGTCAGCACTCTTTAAAAAGCAACCCTTATAATCAAGTTTTGGTACGAGGATTTTTTTCACATTTTTAAAAGTGACATAAAAATTAAAAAATATATATAGTAAAATATGATAAAAATATTTCAGACATAAAAGATTCTTAAGAATGTTAATTTGTGAATAAGTAATAATAAAACTTTCACGTAGTAATTGATAATAAAATTATGAATATTATTAGAAATTATTAATTAACTGTAAAAGATTATTTTTGGAAAAATTAAATGATAACCAAATGGGAAATGCTACAACTTTAAACATTACATTTTGATTTTGTTTTAATTAACAAGATATTGGAAAGGAGGAAAGACAATAGGTGCACGGTTTTCATCTTGAGCTTTATCAAAGGGAATAGATTATACAGCACGAATAGCTGGATAGCAAAGACGCAGTGCCACTTTTTCAACTCGGCTAACACCAAAGAAATCAAAATTTCCACAATTCCACAGCACGGGATTCCGCTATCTACCCAACTCGGACAACGCCTTTTCGTTTTGCTAATCCTCGTTTTGTGTAAAATGCCTTTTCCCCTTTATTTGCCATAACTTCATGCTGGATTACTGCAACCAGTGATTCTCTCGTTTTGTGTAAAACGTTTATGGTGTTATCCTCCAAGTTGTTATTCTCCCGTTTTAGAGTTTTGACTCTGACGTGTCAAATTTTTCTTATCCAAATTATTAAAGTAAAGTTTTAATTTAATCAAAACTAATAATACCAAAGTACAAATAGTTCTTACTGCACATAAATTTTGTTCTAAATTTAATTGAAATTGAACAAAGGCTTTCCATGAAACTTTTTCTAAGCTTTCAAAAAAAGAAAAAAAACGTGTTATTCATAAGAAAGTAGGATTAGCATTGTGAATGCCTTTTTCCTGAAGTGGCGATACATATGGGAACAAAGCTTCGTTTAATATCTACCACTGCAACCTTTATATCATACTACTATTAAGGGAACATAACTTCAAAATTTAACACGTGAATTTTAACATCAATTCGTCCCACCTGTTTTATTCTGTGTCGGGTTACAGAAAGGAAAGCCCACGAACAAAACCTGAAGACGGGTTAAAAAACTACCAGTGCACCAACCTAACCTGACCTTAACGATTATATTGTGTTTCAGATGGTAAAACATAGTTGAACTTGACGACTTTACTTGCTTAAGCTATTTATGTAATGTATATGGATTATTCATAAACATCACATGCTTGAATGGATGCGAGCTACGTAAATTTTCTCGAGTTTTCTCATCTAGTTCAAATTTTTTTGAATAAAACAAGAACGATCCAAGTGTGCATCAAATGCAAAGAATAAGGGTATATTAATAATAAATATTTATCACATATCAGATACAGAAAAACAATTAATATTGCTGAGTGATTGAATGAATTGAGAATGTATTTAATGCCACCTAAATCTATGCAACATGTATACTACAGAAAAACCCTTTAGATAGTCTTTATAAGAACCCTCACTTTTCCGGAAAGAAGCATACTCAATAGTGGAAGTACGTGTGGGTAGAAACCTTCCTCGGGTAATGGATATGCGCCTAAAACTGAAAATCTTCACGCAAGGATCCATACGGCTAATATAGGCTACTACTTGAAATGATGACAATAATGAAGTTAATAAACTAATAAAAAATGGAAGCACTGAACAAATAAAATTTTAAGACATTAACAAAACGAACCCAATCAACCAACGAGATCACGGGACAAGTGTTGCAGTGGAATTTGAAAGAATTGTTCCGGCTGTCACATAGGGATAGAAAGCACAGTTGGAGCAGGTAATTTCTTTTCATTTTTGAGAATATACAGTGTCTATGATCGTTGCCAAAGTTAATTAACAGACAAAAATGTTTATGCAGAAAAATCTCAACCACCGGTGGTAAGTGGTTTTCATTACTACAGAGTACAGACCACAACGAATGGCTTACGATCTTCTCTCCAACCTCCTTTCACTAGATCTTTTTTCCTCTGCCTCTCTCCGTTTTTGCTGCCTGTCCAACAACATGAGATTTATTGTATCAAACATAACTATATCAGGCTATCAGCTAATTGCCAGCTATTAGAAATGGATCATCCAGCCATTTGACTGTCAATTCCATTAAGTTATATTGACCATAAACAGAACAAATTAAATTAAATTGGCTTTACGCTAGTTTGGGTAATGTTTTCAACATGTATTTCATAAGAGACGGGAAAAAAACAGAGAAGCAAAATAAATCAATTTTTTTTTTCATAAATTAAAATTAACTTATATACCTTAAATTTATGGAAAATTAGATGTGGAAACTCCTGAAAAAGTTGAAGCACATATGTTAATTTTACCTTATAGAAGTTTGATTTATTTTGTATTCTTGTTTCCTTTTATTTTCTTCTATAAATACTTATTAAGAAGTTTATCCAAGTAAATAAGTTGTACATTTTGAACTCAACCCAAAACAATCTGTAAATAATCTATAAAAATTGCAAATTTACATAAAGTGAACTTAAGAATTATTGCAAGAATGGTGTTAAATATAAATTAACATAACAACCTTCCCTGAAAAACTTCAGTTTCTGGGAGAGTCGGTAACTGACATGAATTAATGACGGTTATCTTATGTCAAAACTATAGCTGCCGCTAAAAATAAATTACTTTAGTAGATGATGCAGCACTTAGTAGTAACAGGAGAATAGCATAAACAATTTAGCCATATCCACGGTAAAAAACATCACAGCTCCATATCACAGCAAGAAACTGCTAGAGCAGAAGAAAAATACTGAAATACATGTTTCTTAGATTACTATTCGAAACAATATCTATTTTGGGAAATCTCAGCAAGTGATGTGTAATTTTATATTTTATTTTCTTTTAGTAGATTTGAAATGTTCAAATTGGTAACATGCAAAACTACCTTAAAATATCTACACAGTAAAACATGTGCCACACCAAAATTAAATCTTAGAAATTGAAACCATAACTAGAATCAAAAGATAGAACTAGAATGCATATGGAAGTTCAAGCTTGTTTATCAACTTACGCAAATAGCATGTATCCACCACCAGCATTAGCAGCAGACAAAATTGTTGCATGAGCCCCAACAGTAGATACAGAATCCTGCCCCACAGAGGGCAGAGGATTTTTTCGATCACCATCCACCTATCATTCACTAAAATTTTGTGAGCACAGTGAAAAATGTCACTGAAGTTGCAACTGCATTTGTTTAGATAAATACCTTATCCCATTTTGATTTTTTATTCTGTCTACCATCCCGATTAATAGAATCAGCTGTAGGAGGCACCAAAGGTAAACCACTTGCTGCCACAGCAGAAGCACCTGTGGCAAAAAGTCAAATATAAAACACTAAGAATAGAGCAGACACAGAAAATGACTTCCAAGGGAATAGCTTCATCACAGCACAAATAAACAAAGTGGTTTCTGAACCTGCAACAGGCATGCTAATCCTAGGAGCACCAGCAACAATTCCTGGTTGTGCACCCCCAGAAATAAATTCAACCTTCTGTGCTTTCTTCTTCTCTTGCTCTTTCCTCTCACTTTCGCGCCTCATATCAGCTTCTGTTTTGTTATATAGTCAAGATACATAAGCAAAAAGGTGTATATAATGGTAAAACCAATAACAGCTTCAACATCACTACCATTAAGTAACACATAAGAAGTTGAGACACGAAAAGTACTACAAAGTACAAACAACTATTAATAAATGGATGCCAGGAATATACCAGAGCTTAAAACACCAAGAATAGTAGCTTAATCTTAGCAAGTATTTAGTTTGCTAAGTTAAGAGCAATGAATTTTGACAAAAAAGGGGGCAGGTAAAAAAAATATAAAAATTCAGAGGCATCTTTAAAATAGTGCAATAAACGCAATCATGATTTTGCTGAATTAACATATATTCAAATCAAGTAGTTTAATCAAATATATTTCACCAAGCTTCCCGTAATTACTGCAAGCTCTAATAAGCTAGCCAAGAATGTCAGCCTAAATAATAACCTTGATGTACTCTTTGGAACAAAGAAAACACATTATATAATTAAAAATTAAAAAAATTCTAACATTGAGATCCAACAAAATAGGAGGTCTGCAATATATATGAAATCAACTGTCAGTTCTTTGGAATAAACAACCAACAATCACAGAATTCTCGGGAAAAAAAAATGCAGATAAACATGTACATACACAACTCTAGATTGGATGATATATTCAATAAAATAAGGTAAAAGAGAGCAAAATACAGACAAGTTCAGCAATCAACAGAAAAAAAGATGGTGAAAAGAAGCAGTTATCAACCTATTTCATCATAGAAGTCGCTTGTATCATATCCATGAGGATCAAATACATCTTTACTGAAGCAAGACCCTATTTGATCAATATCCTGATACCTCACTGCATGGAGTAAGAAGTCAGGATTTCGATAGTCTTTCCTGTTACGAACTTCTGCATTGAAACTTTTACCAGCCTTCTTGTACTCTAGGAATTTATTTATTTTTCTCTGATAACATAAAATTAAAGACAATGATGTCAAGGCAAAACAACGTCTAACAGATACTAAACCACCATAGAGAAAGCTAGAAATTAGACCTATATAGTAGTTTCCTTTCTTTTAATTTTTTAAGCCTGAAATAGAGACAAAGTAGGGGAATCTACTTTCTAGAGAAGCACATATATTACCTTTAAACAGTAAAAAGAAACAATAAAATGGAATTTAGAATTTCACAAGCCAGATACAACTGTAGTGAGTAATACACCAAATTGATCCCCTGAAATTATAAGCACTCAGTAACTAAAATACAAAAATGTCATTTTTGTCCCTAACATTGCAAAACAATGGTAATTTTAATCCCTGAAATTGCAATAATAAAGGCTAAAATGATGACTTTGGTAATTTTAGGAATTAAATTAACCACTGCTTGTAAGATCAGGGACTAATTTGGTATATTATTCCTACTCTAATACTGCAGTCTAGGCCAAGTCTCAGCAAGACAAACCAATCTGATGTCAAAATTGTAGGCTTTTAAGTCAGACTAGTAATGAGTCAAGTCATTCAATCAGTATAGTACATTATTCAAACATTGTGGAGGAAGAAAGGGGTCGTAACTTGCATAGAGGCTATTTCCGGGTAATTAATCCAAGGTACTAACTTCACTGGCAGCAAGATTGAAAAAAAAAATCAGCAAAACCCACCCAAAACTTATTTGATCAAATTCAAAGGTAATAAAACAGGGAATGCTAGATCAAAACCCAAAAAAATGCACTTCTTCAAACTCCAAAAAGGGATCATTAAATACCCACACAAAAACCAGAGGAAAGGACCAAGGGAAACCAGTCTAAATCAGCAATTGCAGGCTACTTTATAACATATTAAAATGATATTTAACAACTGATAGTAATTAAACCATTTTAACATAACTTACCTGTAGCTCCTCCGAGCATTTAGCTTTTGGTGGTGGAGGGAGAAATTTATCCAATGGATCAACATATTTTTGCTCATCTTGATCTGCATCTCCATGCTCTGCATTGTCTGATCTGATCATATCATCATTGCTCATGGTATCAGATTTCAATGGCTCAGAAAACTGAGGAGTGCTAGCTTGATTGCCAGGTGTCAAAACTTGGACTGTTCCAGATGGTGTTCTATCTAGCAAATCACCTGCAATAACATGTTTCATAAGGTAGTAAGAGGCAAACAAATGCATCTAAAATGATAGTAATGTATCGAAAAAACAAAATTAAGTAATAGTGTCTTCAGAAAATTGAATATGATCGTGCTATTGTTCCCATTCCTGCTTACACAGCCGTTCATAAGCATGACAAAGTTGAGAAGCAGAATCATCAGTGCACTCTTTTTCACTCTGCCTCATTCACAAAAGCTCAAGTAAGGACCACAGAGTTTGACACATCGAAATATATATACATTTAATATAACCCACACCTTAATTAGATCAATAACTACCAAGAAGGAAAAATATTACAAATATGTATGAACCTAAGCCATTTCTCACGAATGAATATACATCATACAGAATTTCAGAGATCTTAAACATTACAAATCAAGCAGAGTTATAACGATAATTACCCAGTAGCTTATACTACATGGTCAAATACATTATTATCAGCCAGCCAGACCAAGCCATTGATGACTGATAAGATCGATAGACTAGGGATAAGTCCCACAATTCCATATGGAATAAGCAACATGACAAAACTATAAAGCCAAGGTAATGTTGCAGAAAAACAAAATGACTAGCCATCTGAATTTTATTATTATTATTACCACAAAAAGGTGTCAGAAGCTAAAATAAAATAAAAAAATGAAGTTCAAGCAAATGAACGGAAGGAAGGTTACTTAGCAATTGGCATAAATAACTCATAAAGCTTAACAAAAATTCAACTCACCATTGGTGACATGAAGCTGCTCCCCAAACATGACTCGACCACTACCATCTATCTCTCCCTCCTGCAATCAAAACCAACCAATACCCATCATTGACATTTCAGATATATAGCTTAAGAGAGTAGAAAGTGTTCAATGAGAACGAGTACCTCAGGCTCAGGTGACATTGCTACTTCATCATGGCCATAATCTACTATCGTAAGCGCCCCTTTCCTAACTATCCTCGAATCCAACGACACCACCCGTTGCTCTTGCGGCGGCGAAACTAACATGTTCGCCTGCGGCGTCGAAGCCCCAAACCTACTTTTCTCCGCCTGCGTGGATCCCTCATCCGCAGCCTCGTTACTGGAATCAGCGACCACCATTCTACCGGCGTCGGAAGCTAAATCTTCCTCCGCGGCGAATCTGGCATCTCCGGCGGCATCTTCGAGTTGCTCCTCCCGGCGCATTCCTGCATCACCTTCTTCGTTTTCGGCGTCCTCCATTTCGTCATCTCCCTCATCGTTGTACATGGACAACAAAGCGATGCCTTCGGAGTGCTTCTTCTTGGACGCCATAGAAGCTAGGGTTTTTGGTAGAAAGTATGGATTAGGGTTTTCGGAAGGATTGAAATTCGGACAGGTAGAAGTGCTGAGGAGTAACGAGTGAGGAAGGTTAAATTAGTTAAGGAGATCTAGGACAAAATTTGAAATGGTAGAGAAAGCGAGAAGAAACGTTGGGAAAGTGGAAACCCGAATTCGAACCAGAAGCAGACGAATGAAGAGGAAAGCACCATAGATTGATTTTATTTTTTTTGATAAATTTATTATTCAAAACATTCTATTTTACTCTTTTTTTTCATTTTTCAATCAATTCTACGTTTTTGAACTATATGCAAATGAAACGAATCATCCAAGCCCAACACTGAACTGATGGAGGCCCATATCTCATGAAAGCCCGAGCTTCGCATGAAAAAAGCTTCGATATATTTTCCTAATAATCTTTTTATTATTTTATAAAATAAATCTTAAATGAAAATAGTTATTAATTATTATGTTGAAAACATAAAACATATTAAATAATTTTTTCATTTAATAATTAGGAGGATTTCTAGGAATAAAAAGGAGGAGAATTTATAATTATTTACGTTAAAAACCTAAGCTCCACACTGATTTTAACTCAAGAAACATGGCTCTGCTGTTTTAGTTCTGATTCAGTGCTTCTTTGATCTTGAACATTGTGAAAAAAAAAAATCATTTTTTATTAATATATTTCTAGGAAGTTTGCCGGTGATCATCCTTTTCAGCGTTGCTTTGCTTTTGAAATTAATCTAAGATATAAAGCTAATTTTACAATTAAGGCATCTCCAACTAGTTGCTAAAAGTTCAATTATATTTTCTATTTTTCCACAATGTTACATTATTTTTACTATTCAATGTAATATAATCCTTTTTACTACAATCTATAACTCTAAAAGTTTATTAAATAGAAAGATACAATTTATCTGAGACGAAAATTAAAAACTATATACAGCTAGATAATAACATCTATTATTGTGAGATCCACTAAAATTTGAGAGAATTATATTCTTCTTCTAACAACGAGTGATCTACTTATTCATGATGGGTCGCTCTTCAATGGTCTAAATGCATTTTCAGTTGTTCTTGGAAGAGCAGCCATAGAGGGTCTTGCTATTTAGAATATCTACAATCCCCTTCGTTATCTGATATTTCTCACTTTTTCCCTTCATAATCAGATCTTGATGAATAATAATTTGCAACAACTTGAAGGGCTATTCCTAAAGGACCAAACAAATTCTTAATTGGAATTATGGAATCTATTTGAATTTTTTGAAATCCTTCTTTTATCCCATTGTAATATTTTCTATCGTTAAATGGTCCTATTTAAAAATAATTAGATGATAACATCAGCGATCAATATTTTTCATTTCTATTCAATAACATACAAATAGTTCCCTTTGAATAGAGGTTATAGCAATTTCTCTTAATTTTTTTAATTTAATCAGGAGACAGTATACTTTGATATTATTTAATATTCTTTTACTTAATAAATTCTTCCAGTTCAAATGAAAAGTAAAAAAAATTCTTCTTAAGAAATTTAGTTTAGCTTTCATCTTGTTCTTGTCTTTTTTTTTTCTTTATACTTTTACCATCCTTTTTATTGTCCAATTCTACAGATTTTTTTTCAATATCTTTTTTTTTGTTTAAGGGAGATGATTCAAGATTTACTTGACCTCTCGCATTCTATTTTTACTCAATTTTGAGTCTTTAACTCGAATTCTGGAGATTTCTTTTTTTTTCAATGGTCTAAAAATATCTATTATTCTTTTCTTTTCAGTAATGTTATTTGGATTTTCACTAAAATTTTGATTTATATTTATATTAAAATGGAAAAAGTGATTTGATGGTATGATCCAGGGGTTATTTTGATATTTATATGCATTAGAAAATATAAAAAATTTTGAAACAAAAAAAAAATTCATACTCAATATAGAATGATTTAGTATTTCTACATTTATTCCCATCTAATCAAAATACTTTCTATCCAGATTTTTTTCCATATCTATAATAGCATCTTGTGCTGTATAATTCCTTATAGAGATATTACTCATTATATCAAATAATTTTTTTATGCGTGTTATAATTAGAAGAAATCACTTGCTTTTTATTTGCTTGGAATGATGATCTATATCCATAAATATATGAGTCTTTATTTTTCATATAATTAACAGAGTTATAGGAGAAAAGATCATATCTATATTGTTTTATCATTTTTTTAATGCGTCTATTTGTTGTTCTTCGTAAAGAATTAATCGAGGTTTTTCATAAGAATCACAATTGGTTAAATCTTTATTTTGTGCCACACAATGCTCGTTGATTCTATTTTTCCATTTTTGTGGTACTAATCTAGACCATATGCTTTTAGATAAGTCATATTGATAACAACCCTTTAACCAATTTGTCCATTGATTCATTACAGAATTGAGAGGGTTCTTATGTTTTAATTTGGAATGAAATATTCCTTGTATTTTGAATCATATTTAAGGGATTCTTTGGCTCGGATCGAAAAAGCAATGTCACTCGATCATTATTAAATTGACTGCAATGTTTTTTTTGTTCGTGACGATCCCACCAGAGCACCTTCTACTTCTAATAGGCTATGAACTACATCAGAATTATTTTCAACCAGTTCATAAGAAGTGATCCCATTTTTTTCATCAAGTCCGGGTAAAGACCAAAGGTCTTGAGCGACCGATCCGACAAAACAACTAAAAAAAATAAAGAAGTATCATTAATTTCTTCATGCTCCTTCCAAGTTTGAAGTACCATTTGTACAAATAAGAATTTTTCTCCTTACATGATTTCTTTGTCATATAGATAAATATAGGATTTATGGAGCAATTACTTAGAAGTACATTTTGTGAAACAACTCTTCCTATTTGATAGAAAAAGATCCCATGATCCTGAACCGATCTTACCTAAGATTGCAAATTCCAATTTTGTCTATGAAGAGCAAATCTAATTATATTAGTGTCTATGATGAATTTTTTTTTTGTATAATACTAATCGATAAAGCCTTATTAGTTTTTGCTTTTAGTTTTTTTCCTATAAAAGTAGAAGTTTCTCTGATTAAAAAACTATACTTTAAGCATTTTTTATTCATTTAAAAAAATTTAATACTAAGCGTCTTTAAAAATCTTTTGGAACAATGTTTAATTTTACGAAGAAGAAAAACCCAAAAATGTTAAACGTTACCTTAGTCACTATCAATATTTGATGTAATTAGGCTTAGAGAAAGCATCATCAGTGTTGGTCACAAGATTTGTAAAAGAACTTGCGGGCCGTATTCAAAGCCCATATAATCAGTTCCAAAGACAATGCCTATCAGCCTCTCTTTATGTGTCTCTCTCTTTTGGTAACGATGCTGACACCCAATCAAGGGGTGTAATTTGGATGTGAGAAAGAGATATACATGTTATTAGAAAAAGAGAGAAAAATAAAAAATAAGAGTGAGTAAAAATTAATAAGAAAAAAGAAGTACAAAAATACTATTATTATTATTTTGGTCAACCCTCTCTGAGATATTGTATATTTTTGTTGGAGATCAAGCATGGGTGGCAAGCCCATTCCCCAACGTCGGTTTCCTTAATTTAATGAAACAGTACAATTATCTTGCTGCGTGGATTGTGATTGCAGTACATGGGTCTAGTTGTGCTACGTATGCATCCTAATCAACGAGCCAATACTAATTAGTGTTAAACTGTCAGTGAACTCCTTTTGTACACAAGCAGCTATATGTCCGGTTCCAAATTAAAGATGTATAGAGGATGCTTAACCACACTGACAAGGACGGAATCCAACTAAATCTTATCTTATCTCTGCAACCAACTTTAGTCGAAACCAGTCACTGAGTTTTTTCAGTTGCTAAGGTCTAAAGCAACTGTGTCCCATGAATAACTTTCAGAAAAATAGCAAAGTGACATCAATGACTTGGATTTGTAGCATATTTGGAAACAAACATGTATAAAGCAAAAGGCAAAAGAGCTCCGCAACTGAAGCATTCTACTTTAATGTATCACATTGCTTGAGAGGAATATAGAAACATTGGTGTTAACCAAAATGGATCCTCTATGGTGGCAAGATTCTCTCTTGATTGTTGATTTTAATATTGAATATCTAAAATTGATAAATTTAAAAAGAATTGTTAAACTTCAACTAACTCATTTCCAAAACTTAAGTTTGAGAGTATCACTAACATCTGTGTACTGCATTATGTTAAAAAAATTTGACTTAACTCACTTTCAAAAACTAATTCATAAAGACTATTCTAGCTCTTATAAAAAGTACTGTGACTCTAGTCTCAGCCAACGTAAGATATTTTAATAAGAATAATTAATTAAAAATTAAAATAGACAAACTCTTATGTGATTGGTTACTTGTGCTAGAGAGGATCCAAATTGGGATTAACTCCTAACTCCTAAAAAAAAACTTGTGACTTACTCTCACCGGTGTAAAATTGTTTTGACAATTACAGAAACTCGCTTAGTGTTCACGAAGGAGTGATGTTAAATTATGGAAGAACGATTTTTCGGAGAATCTCTTTTAGCTATAACTACATTGATATGTTTTTTTTCCCTTCTTGATTATTTGAGGAAACAAGGCTGACATATGTTGTAAAGGAACTACGTACGTAAATATGAATAACAATGAACTTTATGGAACCAAAATAAAAAAGAATTCTAGAATTTCGCTTTCTCACACAGCCTTGGGAAAGAAAAATAAAGAGAAAACGAAGCAAAGAAAACCAAAGTGCTTTCAAAAAGCATGAAAAGGCGAGAGGAGCACCACTCGGCGATTGTGCCAAGAAAATCAAACTACAACACACGAAATATGGAACTTTTTCGTCTCTTTTTTATTTTTATTTGATCTAGATAAATTTGATATGATAATAAAAATCATGTCGTTTATACAAAGCTTTTCAACAAGGTATTATCATATGTAAAGTTAAATTCGCTTTGTAATTATCAACTAGTAAAGAAGTAATACAAAAAATTATAAAAAGTTGGGGTCTATGACACCTACATTATGTCACTCCCTGTTTCCACCTCCGGAGTATGCTCTACAACTTTAATATTCAAATTATTATTTGAGAAATGTAAAAACATAATAAAAATGGAATAATGTTATTTTCATCTCCCTTCACAAAGTGTGAATTTAATATAAGAAAAAGAGAGACAGAAAAGAAAGAAAGAAAAGATAACAAAAAGTAAACAATTTAATGAGTAATATGTCAGAAAAATAAAGAGAGAAATAAAAGGATGAATAAATATAAATAAAATGTAAAAAGAAAAAAGAAATTGTGAGAAAGTTGAGTTGATATGTTAAGAATTATCATCCAACAAATATGGAATAGATAGAGGACACGGAAATCTAGCTGGCTCGCCAACTTAAAAGATGTTGAAATTAGAGTGGACATTGACGTGCTAAAGGCTCCTAATTATTTTCTCATGCAAATGAAAATTCTTAGAGTAATATTCTTCTATGTCGCGTCAGAGAATAAGAAACAACAATAACACAATGTATGTTGTTTTTATTTATTAATCGAAGTTATACAGCTTGTCGTACCTAACTAAATCGGATTTGGAATTCAAATCATTGGATAAATAGTCAATGTAATTGCATTTATTTTAAGGAAAACAAGAGGCACCGGCATGAAACTTACGTTGTACAGAAATTCCCTAGTTATGGATTAGTAGTTAATGACCCTAGATTTTTATACATATATATATATATGTCATTTCATTGTCACAAGAGTCAAAATATCTTGACACAAAGTACCTAATGCAACTAGAGCTGTAAACTAGTTCAACAATCACAGCTAAATATGTCACTAGAATGCAAATGTAAACACCTGAAATGATTACAGCGTAGGATTTTTCAAATCCATGTTTCATGGAATTAATTTCTCCGTTGGTGGACAACCTATTCTTTTATCGTGTTCATAATAGTGTCTGAATGATCCCCTTAATGAGGTATATTCTATCGAAATACTTCCAAACTTGACCTCTTAATCACGCTAAACAACTACTCAACTTTTGGAAGCCACTCATTAACCACAACCTGCCCCACTTTGAGACATTAGCGTACAATATTGACAAATAAATATTAGACTTACATTATTTACCGAATGTGAGAGACGCACAAAAGAGCCATGACCACCCCATCTTGCTCATACACGGCACATGGACCCTTTGTTTCAATAAAACAAACACGTAACCTGCAGCAAATGGACATGCAAAGGCATTGGTGTATCTATCTCATCTACCTCATTGTTCCTTTAGGGAGGATATTCTTTACTAACCTAAAGAGAAATAAATTAACAAGAGAATAAAGTAAAAGCAAACAAAGTGAAAGAGAGTAAAACAAAATAAAAAAGTAAAAAAATAAAATAAAAAAGAAGAGAAAGAATAAAAATGATGGAAGCCCCTCTTAGAAGAGACAAGTAATTAGTGGGATTCTCTGCCCTAAGCATGCTCACCACAAAAAAGATATTACACAACACTCCCATTCATCAATTGCCTGATCTCAGGCTTCCCTATACTTCCCTGCTTCTCCTCCTACTCCTACCCCACTTCATGTTGTCCACCTTTTTCTCCTTTTCACTTTTTCTTTTTCCTGAACTTTATGGTATACATGGCAATCATAACCATATTTTATATTTAAAAAAAATAAAAACATGGTCCAAAACTCCATTGCCACGTGCTATGCAACGAGGAATTGCTCATCGAGCTTAAGCCTCAAACACTTCCGAGTCGCGTGGGGTTGAAAAATAGAAACAGTTTAAAAAACAGAACGATTCAGTTGTGCGAGTCAACTCAGTCCAGTCCCGGGCTAGGATGAATATCTTTGAGAAGGCCCAACACCTGCTGCATGGTGGGCCTCTTCGCTGGCGATTCCGCCGTACACAAATACGCAACCCGGAGACTCTCCACCATCTCACTCTCCGAGTCGCCGCCACCGAGTTCGAGCCTCTCGTCCAGCGCCCTCACCCCGTGACCCTCTCTCACCAGTTTCCTCACCCAAACCACCGTCTCCGCTGTGCCGGGCTTCCCCGTCAGCAGCTCCATCAGCACCACTCCGAAGCAGTACACGTCGGTCTCGGTGGTGCAATTGGGAGCAGTTTCTTGCCCGATTTTCCGGAACCCGAAATCGGCAATTCGGGGCTCGAAATCGTCGGCGAGAAGGACGTTCGACGTCACCAGATGGCCGTGCACGACGGGCCTCGACCCCGCGTGGTGGAGAAAAGCTAGCCCGCGCGCCACCCCCACGGCAATACGGTGCCGTATTGGCCACCCCATCTTTTCCGGGGGCGAGGCTCGAGAAACGGCGCCGTTTTGAATCTCCCACGTGTCCCCACTCCAATCCTCCACGTTAGTCTCACCCGATGGTAGCTCGTGCAGCCACCTACTCAAATCTCCGTTTGACATAAACTCGTACAATACCAGCTTCTCTTTCCCTGAAATTTCAAAATAAATAAATAAAAAGCATCAAACCGCAATCCAAGTACTATTAATAAATAAAAAGGCAAAGTTATTTCTTTTACTATATAAGTAGAAACATAACCGTGCTGAAAATTAATTTTTTCATAATAAAGCATATGAGAAGATCGTTTTCATTTTATATTTTTGCGAATTAGACCTAGAAAGTGTATGCATGAATTTCCACACGTAATCGTAGCCAGTGCTAGATTTAGGTTAAATAAAATAAAAATAGGTTTAATGAGTGTGACATTTCAAAAAATGAAAACCCGTGAAAAGCATTGAATGAGGGTAGGTTAAAATCCAAGGACACTGCTGCGCAGTTAAAAATCAGAATTTTGGAACCATATAAGAAAAATAAAATAAAATAAAATGAAAAATAAAATTGAGCAGCGAGAGGGGTACCTGCAATGCAGTAACCCGAGAGGGGCAAGAGATTGGGGTGTTTGAGTTTTGAGAGGTCAACGAAGGTAGAGACAGCTTGATGATGAACAACGTCTCTGGCGTTTTCGAGGACCTTGATTGCCACGTCGATGTCTCCGGGCAAGACAGCACGGTAAACAGGGCCACACCTCCCCTCAGCGAGGAGAGAGTCCTTGCCGAAGTGTGACGTGGCAGCGATGAGGTCTACGAAGGTCAGGTTCATCAATGGCTTCTCGAACATCACCACAGGTGCAGAAGAGGGTTCTTTCAGGTCAGCCACCCACGATGTCCCTGACTCTGTCTCAAACGCGAACGGTCCTGATTTCTCCATCTTAATGCTCATTGGGACCGGTTTCGATATTGCCCATTTGTTCTTCTTCGCCATTTCCCTCTTCCTTCTGTAACCCCACACACCACACATACACAAAACCACTACCAGAACTGCTGAGCCAGAGGACACTCCCGCAATCATGCTTTTCGTTTTGCGTTTTGACTTTTGCTTTGGCTTTTGTTTCCCTCTCTGCTTCGCGTGAATGGGTTTTGGGTTTTCGCTTGAACCAAGTTTTGGCGTTTTGGATGCGTTGTAGTTGTAGTTGAAGTTGTTGCCGGCGTGGATGAACGCGGATTTGCCGAATTTTTTGAACTTATCTAAGGTAACCGATGCTTTGAAGTTGTTGTGAGATATGTTCAAGAATTTGATGGCGTTCAGGGGAGGAAAGTCAGAGGGGAAACTACCGTTCAATGTGTTGTTAGACAAGTCTAAGTGGGCGAGTGAGGGAAGGAAAGAAATGGGTTTTACGTTTCCTTTGATGTTGCAGCTTGAGAGATCGAGGTGGCGTAGATTGGTGAGGTTTTGGAACCCCGAAGGTAACGTGCCGAGGTTGTTATGGGAAAGGTCGAGGCTTTTAAGGTTTGAGAAACCAGAGAGGTGTAGTAGATTGGTGAACCTGTTGTATGAGAGATTGAGTGTTTGAAGTGATGAAAAGGAAGCATTTTGGGAAGTGGGTTTCAACGCAATGCTCCCTCCGAATTTGTTCTTGGAAAGATTCACTACCAATAAGGTTGAGCTTGCCCAGAACCAGTTTGGGACCTGGCCTTGTAGAGAATTCCCAGACAGATCCAGAACCTGCAACTTTGACATGTTCCTCAGATATCTCCACGAGATACTTCCACTCAAGTTTTTGGAAGGAAGCTCTATCTCCTTAATCTGAATATCTAAACAGTTGGAACCTGTTTTATGGAACCAGGAAGCGTTGAATCCTGAGACAGATTGGAAGGCCTTTGACACCAGGTTTTGGTCTTCACTGTTGCATGAAGATTCCACGAGAGCAACCAGCGCAAGGAGAATCGAGAACCTGCAAAAGGGCCTCATTTCTTAGCTTCACCGTCTCAATCTCGTGCCCTATTATACCTCAACGCCTCCTTCGGATGAAAGAAAGAAACGAAGTGAGAAAAAGAGAGTCTATAGTTGTTGGCTTAGTGGGACAGTTCGCGGTTATAGTGAAGTGGGAAGCAACGGCGTCGTTTGTTTTGACGGAGGGGTTAACGGCACGTGAGCAAGGTTATGGTTATGAATGGTGAAAGACAATTTACATTTAATGGAAGTTGTACAACGGGTGTTGACTGTTGAACATTATGAACTCGAAATCAAAGGGGTTTGAGATCACCGCTTGATGAAGGGGGTTGTAGTCAATGCCACTTTTTTAATTTTATTTTCAAATGTTTGTTTCTTTGTTTGTCCTGTGACGTAATTGCCCCCGGTGAATTTGTGAAATTTAAGGAGTGTGTCTGTAAACGGGGGTTAGAAAATATGGATTTTATTGTGGTCTTGAACTCAAATAGATTTGAAGGTGACTGAAAGGGATGGGGTCCCAGTTCTTTAATTTGGGATTCAGAGGGTTAGAAAGATCAATAGAGTAGATGATGTAATGCTAAAGTTGTTCGGATCGGCATGCAATAAATTATCCAATCCCAGACCGCATTTGACAACACCTTGTGCTTTTACCAACTATTTCAGAAAGTGCTTCAAATATCCTCCCTCACAGGATTAAGGCAATGAACATATCTTAGCAAGGAGTTTGACATATGTATCCATTATATATTTATACAAAAATAGGGGCAATAAATAATAATCAAATTTCATTTTTAAAAATTTACAGTTCATTTAAATATATTCTACTATGTAACCTTTTCTTGTGATTGACTACATAACCGATAAAAACTTGTTACATTAGATACCCTTGAGGAAAAGAGCTATTTCAGACGGATAAAGGGGTGAAAATTTTAAGGACAGACCATAATTTAAGTTGTTGTAAATTAGTAATTACTAGTTGACAAATATGAATTCTTAAGCAGGATATACAGTTGTAAACTACTTTTCTGCGCCTGCTTCTGTTTGCATAAAATACTATTGAATTTGGTTTTAGTTTGTTTACTTGACCTGTTGGTCACTGCAATGTGTTGCAAATTGACTACTCAAATTTAGCAAAAGTTGCGTTGTGCAGACTTCAAGGAATGGGCTACAATCCTTTTTTGGGTATAAAAAATAAGTTGCTCTGATGCCAAAGCCAGAAGAAATTTAGTTCGTCTTCACTCTATTTATGTTTTTGACAACTATTCCCTGTTGAGCAAATGCTCAAGATTCAACAAACCAAGTCTCCAGTTCTGAGGGTCAGGGTCCTTTCTACTGAGAATTAAATTATCACAGCCATATGTGCAGTTTTGCTGTCAAGGGGCAAGCTTCTCTCTAGGCTAACCTGGAGCATACAATCCCCCCTTCAATAAAAGGTTACATTGTAACTAATAGAATATTTGAATTTACATTTAAATTGATAAGAATTTACGTTTTTATAAGTTTTGCATTAGATTTATGCTAATAATTTTTCAATATGTTTCTAAACAGATATTAAGAAGTGGTTGACAAGGCGATTTTGAAGAAAATAGAATAAAAATGAGAGAACAATCATAGTTTGATTGCAGCTATTGCAGTCAAGAGTGCTTCATTTTCCTTTTGACTAAGCAAGTTTTTACTGGTTTAAATTATGCCTAATGGGTTGATTGCTCTAGCTATAAGACAAAAACATATAGGAAACGGATTGATTGCTATGGCCGAGTAAACAGTGCAAAATAGGATTGGCAAATTTACGGAAGTTCCAAGCACAGTTGGGGACATTCCTCTCCATCATCTAATAAATTACTTGGAGAAAGACACAGCACATGACAATTACTAAGAACTTGACTCAATAATGCCTAGTCTTCACTTCTCATCAGTCAATAAAGGTCGTTTTGGGTACCCCCCCCTTCAATGGTTAAACATTACCTATATAATTTAATTGCACATGTTAAATGCAGAAAGAAATATGTCTTCAAGTTAGAAAAAAGCAAAATACACCCACCTAAAATTAATTCCCACTTCCCACCCTATCCCTTGAAGGAAAAATAAATAAGAACAGCAATTTGACCTAAGCTTGTTAGATCCTTAGGGTGAGAAAATATTAGTGAGATTTTTTTCTTTTCAATTAATTGTGATAGTAAAATGTTCAACATACAAAGTAAAATAGTAAAAACAAAAAAACAAAACCTTAGACAAAGTGAAAGACAAAAATTAAATTACTTTTTGGACCAACTTCTGTATGATCTTATTCAAATGTTTAAATACACTGTCTTTCAAAACCGGACACTCATTTCAGTAGGAAATTGGAATAACCAAAAACAAAACGCAAATTTTAAGAATTCACTTCCCTCCAACTTTCTTAGCCAATTTTTATAAACTATGAAGCAAACAAAAATTAAAGGGGAACCCGGAAGAAACATATTGCAGACTACATTTCAAATGAACAAGTAAAATGTACCCTCTTTCATAAAATGACAAATTGCATGACCGTGATGCATTAGTCAAACTAAGACAAACCAAAAGAGGATATGTATACAAGACAGGTAAAGTAGTTCAAAAATTCATTCTGGTGGATTTGGATGTTGGCAAGTAGCTTGCTCCACAAATTCCAAATGCTAGTGGTCATCTCACCTGCTCTGGCACGTGGTTTTTGGCTTTTTTCTATTGCCATTTTATGCCCATTAATTAATTTTATGTTAATAAACTCTGTTTGGAACTGTTATGGTGATCATGTTAAGTAGATGGTATCGCCTAATCCACAACCATCCAAAGCAGAATTCCAAGAGAATGACAACTCAGATTTGGGATATAATATTAAACTAAGACACTGAGATTTGGGTCATTATAAATTAGTTCAGCAGCTTGCACTCCTACCTGAAAGCTGATTCACCAGTGTGGCTTTTCACTTGTGAGTAATGTGAAAACAATTTGATTTGAGAAAATATTTCTTAGAATATTAGAACCGGACACTTTTATATATTTTTTGTTATTGAGATGTATTTATAAAATGATCTTATATAATCTCAATTTTTACTAGTTTAAATTACAAAATTATTTAATTTATGAGATAGCGTGTCTCTGTCAGCAGGGCTAGTTATGCACTTCTACTCTGACAACTAAAATTGAAAATTTAGCAAGACATCGTTTCAGGAATCATATTTTTCACCCATCGATTGAATATTTACGTAAAGTTCTGACTGTTTCGGTCAGATTAAGAATAAACTGTTTCTTTTTTCTTTTTTCGTAAAGAGTGTAGTCATATTTTTTTCATGAAAAGAGTAAAAACTGCAATTTGTCACTAATTAATGACAGTGTCACGATGAAGATCCTTTCGCTAATAAATGTTTTTATGCAATAATAAGTCCACTTGATATTTTAAAATTGATATCAACAAATTATCTTAAAAATCCAAAGGAAATATCACAGGGGCATACTTTATTTTATACAGAGGGTGTGACTCCTTGTTAATTGAAGTCAGGGTAAGACCCATTATGGATAGTGAATGAGAGCGGCTAATCTTCAATTTCTTTATACATATCATGATGTATGAATTGCAAACTTTATGGAAATAGGGAAACTTTACATTTTGAAATTAATATTTCACCATCAGTTGGAAAATGCATTTTTAATAGGGAAGTAATTTAGACTATCATAACTGATAAACTAAATAAAGGGTAAACCTCGTCTGAATCTTAGCTCAAGCAGCATCAATTTTCGTGACATTCTTTGACCTCGAGATCAAATCTTTATTTTAATTTTTAATTTTTTAGCAATATTTTTCTTCAAACTTCAAATTGGATAAAATTATCGTTACTATGTTGATTATCACATACTGATTATCAATTTCAAGCATGACAAAGCTCGTTAAGGCCCAATATGCAACAAAAAATTGTATCTAAGAGCTAAAAAAGAAAACAAAAAATAAAGCTAGATTAGTCTTGGACCAAAAAGAAAAGGAAAGAAAGGGTATCACATATAAAAACATCGTTGATAATATCTTCACACCGCTGCTTATTTTATGTTATCCCTGTAGTTTCATTTTCACGAATATAATCCAAGATGTCGTGTTATGTATGCACTACGGTCAATGATAAAAAAAAAAATAAAATATTTTTTAAAATGAACTATTAATAATAATTTAATGTGTTATTTGTATTTTAAATTATTTATTTAGTTTTTTATTATTAATTACTCACATTATTATTGCCTATTATTCCAATTACTAATATTTACATAGAGAAAAGTATATATATCAAAATGACTTTATATACCGGAAAAGTACATATATTTAAAATTAAAAATTGCAATATTTTACAATTTTTGAAAAACTTTCTCTGTACACTTTATTTTTAGTAGTAAATAATCTAATTTTATTTTTATCGCATATCAAAATTTTAAACTCACTTTTACACTTAACATTAGATATTGCAACATATAATTATTCGTGAGAAAATATAGGACGTGAAAAAAAATCATGTAATAATATTTGACCTTAACTTATTAATAGTGATTACAAAATAAGAAAAAGAGAGAAGTTTTTTCGGTGAGACGTTAAGAACACACCATGATGAGGATAAGCCTAAAAAATTATATAATCTATCTTGATGCATCAATATTTCTCTTTAGCATGAGTGTCACTCTTTATTTTAAGTACTAATTTATGATTAGCAAGCTTAAAGCATCTAATATCATTTAGGGTTAGGAACCATAAACAACACAAATTAAGGGTCTCAACAGCGTGTAAGATTGAGAATAATATTACTCTATGCTTAAAGAATTTTAGGTTACTAAATTCATGTACCAAATTAGGATAGGAAAGAATATCAACAACATGATCATCTATTATTAAAATTAACAAATCAAACAGTCTTAAAAACTTATTTATTTACTATGAGAGTTTCATCCTATATAATACTACGATTTTTTCAATGATATTATTCAACTAAGTTTTTTTAATAATATTATTCAACTTTCATATTTCTTTGTTTAATATTGCAACATAAATCTCCATTTAATGAAAGAAGAATTGCAAATTAA